TCCGCGCGAGGGGCCCCTCGGTCGATGGCGCCGCGTAGCGCGAAGGGCTGCTTTTCGCGGCGTCTCGCAGGACCCCTCCTCGCCCCCGGGCGGAGGAGCGGAAGCCCCCGGCGGCCCCGCCGGTCGCGCGGGCAGGAAGGGGAGGTGTCGCCCTGCGCCCCCGCGCTCGCGGCGCTCACCTAGGGGCGCCCCCCGCCGTCACCTGCGTGGGGCGGCAGAGGCTGCTCTGATTGCGGGCGACCTCCAGTCCCGCAGGGGGTCCCCGGAGGGGCGCGAGGGGTCTCGGCGTCACCCGCAGGGAGAGCGCGGGTCTGGGCCTGCAGGGAGAGGCAGGGACTCGCCTCCCCGGCTGAGGGGAACTGAAGCGTCTCGGCGAGCAGCCGCCGGGACCCCGGAAGTCCTCCGGACGCCGCCGCCCCCGCGCCGCGCTCGGGCTTTCCCGGGGCCGGGAGCGCGTCCCCCAGGGCCTGCGGCCCGCCAGGCTGGCGGTGAACCCCAGGACGGGCCTGGGGTCTCGGGCTCAGCCAGAGCTGGCGGACCCCGGGCTGGGCCCCCCGGCTTCTGTAGCCATTTCCCGGCCGTAAGCTGGACCAGGACAGTCCCCGGCCGCGAGGCTCTTCCTAGCCCAGCGTGCTGTGGCACGGCAGCCGCTCCTGCCCTCAGTGTAGCCGCCGGGCAGGCGCTAACCAGGAGCAAGCTGCTGGCAAATGGTCCGTCAGGACTGTTGGCGAGTTCCGTGAGAGCAGACGGCCGGGCGGTGAGGGAAGGGGCGCGCCTGGTGCTGGGTGGGGTGTGAGCGAGTCTGAGTCTGGCAACTCCGCACCTGAAGTGAGACAGGCTCCACCTGCCCCTGCTGTCCCAGATCCTGCCGCTTCCCATCAAGTGGGGTGAAGAGGGGGTTCTCTGGGGGCCTGGCTGCGGGGATGGGCGCCTCTCTGCACGACTTATGGGGGATCCTGGCGGCGGTCCTGGCCGAGGTCCTGGCGGATCGGAGCCTGGGGGCTTGCTGCAGAGAGGAGCATCCACGCATCCCGGGCCGGGGCTCCCGGAGCCAGCGCGTGGCGGCAGGAACCAGACAGGCCTGCTGGCCCGAGGCTGGGGCACAGGCCCAGACTTGATTCTCCCCGGGTGGTGCCCTGGAGAGTGGCGGACTCACTCAGCGGGGAGACTGCAGGGTGCCCGCCTGGTGCCTGCCGGGTTCCTGAGGCCAGCCGAGCTGGAGGCTTCCCCGCGTGCCCGCTCAGAGCGGGTGAGTACCTGCTTCTGAGACGCGGCCCAGTAGCCCCTGCTCCCCCACGCCCTGTCCTCGCCGCTGGGGGGCCCCGACTCCCAGCTTTTACCAGAATGACGTCCAGC